GAGGTTCAGAACACATTTCAGGTATTTCTGTTATTTCTTACGGGAAAAAAAAATCTTAACTTGCAACCAACTTAAGTTACAACCAGCCCTTACTAATGGATTGAGTCCATGAATCAAGGTCCACTGCACCTTGTGCCATTAATATCATGCATATGATCAAACTACCAGTGCTTTGTTTCATTTTTCCTTGTGAAAATAGTCCTTCAGCCTCACTATCGAGGAGACCAAGATGTCTCCACCTATCAAGGCTTTCCTGGGAGCTGAAACCATGCTCCCATGCATGGTCAATAAGATCCCAGCAGAACTGGTTTTAGAAACAGAAAATGGCCATGGTGCTCATAGGTCTGGAGCAAGCTGGGGCTTGCCCCCTGAAGATAGAGCTGATCTCTGAACTCTAACTGTTATAACCCATTTCCATATCTGCTACAGTCAGGGATTGCAAGGAGAACAAGATGATATAGGATATGTAATTTACAGTATTATTTTATAGTAGAAACCCAGAGAGTTAAATACAAATGTGGGTTTTCTATCCACACATTAAGACCCAAGGAATCCAGCTGAGGGCCTGGATCCCACAGCAGTGTCCTTCATGAGTCCAGCTAGCTGGAATATAAGGTAGTTTGATCATCGCCTGGATAGAATATAAGGGAGAGGCAGGTTTGCTGCTGCTGCTGCCTGCTGCCTGCTGCCTTCCTGCCTGCCCTGCCATGAACTGTTTCTCCTCTGTGATGCCCCTTGGCCGTGCCACCCTGTCTTGGAGCCAGTGACTATATATTGAAACCTCTATAAACTGTGAGATGAAATAAACCTCTCCTCCTTTAACTTGTATTCATCAGGTATTTTGTCTCAGCAATGAGAAAAGACAGATATACAATGAGTAAAATGTACTTCTAAGGTTTTGGGGGTGTGTCATTGTCTTGGGAAATGAACATAGTAACAGTGCCGTTTAGAGTTGTTCTGCTACATAAACACTGTGTGGGGAGCCTGTAACAGTTTAAATGAAAACCTCACACCCTTGCAAGATGCCTGACAGCGGGTCCAGAAAAAGAAAATGAGGAGATGACACAGGATCTCAGCTCCCATTAGAAGCTGAGACCAGGAGAGGCAGTGGCCACAAGTCACTCAGCCTGTGAGGTCAGCCAGGATCCAAGCAAGGAAGTCAGAGCCTACAGCACTAGTGCTTGCAGCAGGAAGCATTCCAGGGACAGCTGCAAAGCTGTGCTGCAGGAAGAAGTTGTAACAGTGGACGAGAGTTCACAGACACCAATTTTATCAAGAAGAGAAGCATTCCACGGTGCTCCAAGGAATCCCCAGAGAGATTACAAGTGTGGAGCAGACCAACCCCACCATGCATCACAAGGATTCTACCAGACATCAGAAGCACTTTTAAGGAGGACACCAGGGTCACCTCGGTCTCCCCTCTTCACTTTTACTGATGAACATGAGATATAAGCACAAGCACCTACTCACGCAGATCCACACCAGCTCTGCCTCCTCCCTGGTCACCCTCAATATCCCCCATTTCCATCACTCCCCATGGTTTTCCTTCTATCAAAACATCATAAATCCTTATGGCTATTTAAGACACCTTTAAGAAAGAGCACTGCCATTTAAACCTGTCATCACAGAATTCCTTATAGACAAAATACAGGAGAAGACAATGGAAATAAGTTTTGGGATCCTGCCAAGGTTTTTTCCTACAAACTTAGACTTCTGGCCACATTTTTGGTTCGACTTGAGGTTGTTTGTGCTCCCCCGTGCAGCGTGGGAAGGAAGTGTCAACTATCTCTGGAACTGACTTCTAAGCTGCTGACAGCCAACTGCACATTTTGGTGCTTTTAGGCCCAGAGTATGCAAGAGGCATCTCTTCTCAGGAAGGAGATGCACACCTGTCTTGTGACACCCTGATGGAAGATGGTATGGAAGAGAGAATCAAGGTACTCAACAACCAGTACGTGTCATCAAGATTGGGTAGATACCCCAGTCCCACAATCCCTCAGTGAATGGAGGTGAAACCAGACTAGGACCAGCCTAGCCAACTCCAAAACTCAGGGAAATGTAAACCCTTGTTATCTGGGGCTTCTCAATCAGGGCATGCTTGTTACACAGCATACATCACTGATGCTGACAGCTTCCCCTATGTGTGTCTGCCTCAGCTGCCATAGGTCCCATAGAAAGGGTGACCACAAGTCTCTCTGTAAGAATCTGTGGAAGGAAAGATGAATATAATCCACCAATATCAGATTCATGTCTTGATATATGCTACTTTTATGCTTTTATATGTAACAACTTTTCATGTCAATTCCAAATCATAGCAAAATCATTCTGAGCGCATTTTGCACAGCAGTTTAACCTAACATGCACAGAGCCGACCTCATACGTATTTTGACTGAAGAGATGGTAAAAGGAGCGGCTGCAGCCTCTTGTCAAGTGGCAAATGACCCATGCCAAGTTACAACCACAACACGACTGCCAATAACAGTTCCAGGAGGCATCCTTCATTCGGAGATGGCCCAGCACAGAAAATACCCATCGTGGAATCACAGCATGCAGCATCTCTCAAATCTACAGCTCCACCCCACCCCTCACCTTGCCAGGAAGGTCACGGTCACTCAGGACTGGCCTCATCCTGTCTATGCTGCTCCATTTTCAGCCCAAACATTTTATTCCATCCCTGATAGCAACTAACAAATGGACAACGCCCTTTGCATGCCCTTGTTTAAATGCAAATCCCTACAAATATGCAGATCTCCCCCTGGAGAGTCTCACTGGTTTCCCTCACCTCCTTGGGCAGCGCCTCACATTTTAGGCAGGGGCATCCCTGCTAAAGAGCGTTTCCAGTTGCCCAGAACTTATTATTTATTTCATTTTCTCCTTTTTCCAAAAAGATGTTGAATGTTGAGGCAATTTACACAGAAAATTGCAGAAAAGGAAGCTTAGTGAATTAGAAATGAAAGATCTGGGAAAAGCAAGTACAGAAACCAAATGGTAAGGTTATTACAGAGACTCTTTATAACGCCAGCCTGATGAACTCCTGCAAGGGGGATGTTTCATTTCCAGAAACATGATCCCCTGCTTGAATAGTCAGAAAAATGTTAGCAGTTGAGTCCAAAGGCCCGCACATCAAGCAGACCTAAATGCAAGCAACAAAGATAATCAAAGGCACCTTCAAATATATTTTTACAATAATTGCAGACATTGTACATCAACCTTTGGTGACCGACGCCTTTTTTTTCTTCCAGAAATTTTAGTTTTCCAGAAAGTCTGCGTTCTATATCGCTATAGGTTCTTGATATGTTCATGATAGGAAAATACTTTCACTTTGTAAAATAACACACTCATGCATTATGACTTATGCCATGATTTATGATTGTTCCTGCCTTGCGATCATGCTAACATTTAGGAATCTTTCTAAATATCTTTATCAAAAGTGATTAACTCTCCAGTGATAGATTTCAAGAAGAGGAACAAAAGAAAACATAGCATCTAATAAAAGGAAAAATTTGCATCCTCATTTACGAAGAACCAAAGTCAAAGAAACTTAATGAAAAAATAAATAAATCAAATAGGGGCTGGAGATTTAGCTCAGTGGTGTAAGCACCTACATGGCAAGCTTGAGGTCATGAGTTCAATCCCCAGTACCAAAATTAATTAATTAACTAATTAAAAAATTAAAAGTTCTTTTAGAAGAAAAGGGAGAATACAGATGTCTTGTGCGTGATTTGGGGATGATAAAGCACAATGTATGTACCATTGTTACCCCTGATTGATGTATTTTAAAATTTTGTTTTAATTTTTTTTTCCTTTTTCTCTTTGAAATAAAATGGATTGAGGGGGAGAGAAAATGAAACAAAAAAAATTAATGAATAGACATTTAAAAAGAAAGAAAAAAAGAAAAGGAACTTACTGAGTTGGAGGCTGTGGGAAAGATGTGACGCTGACCGCAGACCATCGGGCAGCAGCCCAGGTTTTCACAGCCCGAGGGGCAGGATTTGGAAGGCTGCTCTAGCCATGCTAAGTGACCATCGTCATTCAAACTCCAGTGCTCCCCCAACCTCACCCCACACCATCAGCAACAGCCCGGCCGAGGCTGCAAAACAACACTTCTGAAACCCCGGTCAGCAAGGTGGGGTACAGCTTACGGCCCAATCGTGCCCACCGTTTTCATGTTCTAACAATCATCTTGCATTCATTCAACAAACACTGCTAACCTGCACACCTCAGTGAAAGAAAACTCAAAATAAACAAGCCAGTCATTCCCCTCAGGAAGCCACATAAATAGCAACAGAGTTGATTCAGCAAAAAACTCTTGTTCAGTTAAATGCCAGCCGAGGATGACAAAAGAAAGACATGTTACGGTGATCTCACTAATGGGCCATCACTCAAGATCACCAATAACGCTTAGCAACTTGCACTTGGAGAAGACAGAGCTTGGGAGGGCATAGCTCCCTGAACCAGGGCCAGGCACAACTATGGCGGTCACTTTGAGAGCTGTACAACCCATCCTAAGGACACGTGAGACCCTCCAAGTCAGGCTTCCTCCTTCCTCTCTGACTCCGCCTCCCAATACTACTTCTTTCCATGCTCATGTTGCACACATACACGTGTGCACACACACACACACACACACACACACACATACACACACACAGAGCGAACTGCTTCTCACCCCGGTGCCCCTTCATCCCCACAGGAGCCCATGCTCAGCCTTGCCAAGGGTGCCTCAGTTTCCCCCACCTGTCCCATGAGACTTCGTGTCTATGCTCCCCCCCCTCAGCCCTCTTTCTCTGTGTTGTGTCACAGGTTCCCCGTGTGCTCCCCATCCCTGAGCCCCGCACGTAAACCTAACCCCTCATCCTTGTTCATGGAGGGTGTCTGGCCCTGGCCCTGCCCCTGGCCCTGTGCTCGGGGAGCTCAGCTGACAACCTGGCATACAATGCACCCTTGGGAGACAGTGGACTCTGTGACTACGGTCACTGCTTCTTTTAAAAACAACTCACTTTTTTCTTTCTCGGTGGACACTTTTCCAATTCGTACCGCCTGAAAAATAAAAGACAGCTGTCATGTAGGATTCAGCCCGCCTTCGAATGTAGGCTGTGCCCCTGGCCCCAGGGGATGAGGTCCCAGCTCAGGGCATGCAGGGCCCAAGGAGGTCGGCTCCGCTTCCTCCCTGAGACTCCGAAAGCCACCTGCCTTCCTGCACAGCACAGCAGCAGGGCTACAGCAACTTCCGCACTAAGGATGCCCCACGAGGTAAGAACGCTCCCAGTCCCTGGCCCCTTTACACACAGGGTTCCTTTGAGTAGCTCGCACACCACACTGTAACGGGGTGGAGCAGTGCTCTTCTCACTCTCGTGGCCAGGAAACCAAGGCTCAGTGAGATGCAGATTCCACTCCGTATCCCAAACCCATCCAGGGGCAGAAGTGAGGTTGAAATCCACCCAACATGGGCCAGGCCTTTCCAGCCACACTCAGAGTTCCCTGTGCTATGCCCCAGCCCTTTTTCAATTTTCTGTTTTGAGTCAGGACCTTGCTAAGACACTAAATTGCCGAGGCTGGGCTGAAATTTGCAACTCTCCTGCTTCAGCCTCCCAGAGAGCCAGAGTATAGGCACGAGCCATGATACATAGCTTAGTGAGATTTATTTAAGTGGAACATGCAGTTCTCTCCTGGTAAGTCCTTACCAAAAGACTTCTCCTCTGGCCTCCCAAGGACAGACAGCTGGAAATGGGCTCTCTGGAGACCAGAGCAGCATCCACCAGGCCCAGTGGGCATCAGGGAAGCCACACATGCCCAAAAGTGAGGCTCTCTTGCCTCAGAGCAAACCCACAAGGGATCCCTTCAGCGGGGCTCTGCAAGTGCCACACCCTTGTCATATTAAAGTGCTTTCTTTCCAGGTGGCAAACCTGGAGGACACTGGTTGCCCCTAGAGGGGACAGTGACATCATTCTTCAAATAGCGAAACACGATCCCCACGAAGGACGCCATCTTCCTGCTGTTCTCTGCTCCGTGCCCACAATCACACTTGCTGTTGTCTCTGCAGTGAGAATCAAGGCTCCCCTTTCCCCAGGAGCCTGACGCCCTGCACAAACCTGTGCTTTTGCTGCTAAGGAAAAGTGAGTCAAGTTAAGGAAACAGAACCCTGGGTTCTGTGTGCTGCCTAGACCAGTGTCGCCCAGGCCTGGGGCCTGGTCTGGAACTGATTTGCACATTTACACTTTCTAGCTCTAGGACTCCCAGATCCCAAATACAGCAGAATCAAATGGGAAGTGACCATGTTTGGTGGTTCCTCCATGCCTAATTTTTAAAATCTAAAATGAAACCATGCACAGCAAGAGCATAGTGTCTCATTACAGACAAATAATCAACAGTTATTTTTGAACTGGACATATTTTTAAGAGGCAGGTACTGGGGAGATAAAAGCAAAGTTTACCAAAAGTCAGGAAAGGACAGCAGAAAATATACTCACTGTCGGACCTCACTGGGGACCCGCGGGGACCTCCAGTAAGGGAAGTGTTTGAAGGTCTCCAGCCCTGCGGCAACGTAAAAATGATTGTCCTGCAAATCCTTGGAATTGTCCAAGAGATGTCCATTCATGGTAAATAGCCTGCAGCGGTGGGAAGAAGAAACGGGATCTATTTAAGACCAGGAACGCTTGTTGGTGACATGACCAGTATGAGAACGAGAAATCACAGACTGGCCACCAAGTGGGAACAGGAAACCATGACTTGGGACACGGAGAAAGGCTGATTTGCAACTAGAACAGTAGATTCTGCAAATGGGAAGAGGATCAAGAGATGGAGGAAAGGAGGGGAAGTAAAGAGAAGATTATTATGTGCATGTACCACTCACTGTGATGAATGGAATCAGTATGCACTGTAAATATGTACTAGTAAAAATAAAAATTAAGAGAAAAACAAAAATAGAATAGTAGACACAGCACAAGAATGAGTTGGATTTAAGAATAGACAGAGGTAAGGGACAAAGATAAAACCTGGGAACTCACATGAGGGAAACGGGAAAAAAATAAAGAAACGGGATCTATATGCAGAAGTTCAGCAATAAGGATGAGAAGTATCAATGGCCAGATGATAAGAATGCACAGGGTTTATCTAGCCTCATGGTTGCAGGGGATTCAGTCCATGGTAAGCCGCTCTGAGCAGGAATAACATGGTGGAAAGGCACAAGGAGCAAAGCTGTTCAGTTCATGGCAGCCAGAAAACACAGCAGGGGACAGCACCAAAGAGAAAGGAGAAGAGACCAGATATGGACTCAAGGTCACATTTGTGTTCACCGCCCCCCAGACACACTCGGAAGTGTGCATTACTAATCTTAATCTTCCTGGGCCAGTTAGGTTCCCACAGCTAAGCTTACTTACCACAGACGGTAGACAGACTGAGAAAATAGAACCTGGTTTACCGTACTACAGAGTTTACAATAGATGGTCCAGGAAAGATGTGCTCATAGAAAAACCCAAAACCACCCGAGTCAGGGCATCTCCTTACTTCCTCACGCCTCCAAGAGGGAAGACTTTCTCTCCAATCATGGCCAGCACGCTACTCCACTCTGACAGGCTGAATTTGGGAATGATAATTTTTATAGGTGGGCTAAATAACTTTCCATTTGTAAAAACACTAAGAATAAAAAAAGCAAAGCATGCATTAGTACCTGTAAATGGGAGAGGAAAATATTGAAAATGCGCAGAAAATGTATGTACAATTACAGACCCTCGAAAACACTGTGATGTGCTGAACAGAACCCAAAATCACAGCCAGGCCTTGCAGAGGGCTGACCAGGTGGGACAGTGTCCATAAGCTTGCTGATGTGATGCAGATGTCAGGGAAATACTTTTTATATAACTAAAATGCCCAGATAAATGGAAAACTATTTCTTTCAAAGTATGCCTTCAACGACAGTGCTGGGTAAAATGGAATAAAACTGTCCATTTGGGAAACAGACAGGGAAATTGTACCCTCAAAAGTGCAGCTGGCCAGGCGTGGTGGCACATGCCTGTGATCCCAGGGCTCAGGAGGCTGAGGCAGGAGGATCACTGTGCGTCTGAGGCCAGCCTGGGCTACAAAGTGAGCTCCAGGCCAACGTGAAGTGCACAGTGACAATGTGTCTAAAGCGACCACCAAAAAAATGCAGCTACTTCCCTCCCCATGGAGCCCAGACAAAGTCACTAAGGAAATACAGTGGCACCTCAGTTCATGAAATCAACCCTTTCTGTGATTCTGGACACAAATTGAATTGGATAAGAGCTGAACCAATTTTTCCATATGGTCAACATTAAATCTAACCACTGAATTTGATTTGGTTCTCATTCAACTCAGTTTGTGGCCAGAATCATGAAAAGAATTAAGTTCGTGAATGGAGGTACCATTGTAACTCACAATCCTTTAAAAAGATAATGAAAAATTGACTTCTGCACTGTTTTGTTTTGCTTGGTTTTATTCTCTTTAAAATAAAAAAAAATTGTTTTAAATCCGTTTCTAAGGCAGCTTCCTCGTGTGCCCAGGGCAGTGGATTTCTTTCATCATTTCTACCTGTTGGAGACCAAAGGGGCACCTGGGAGATTTTCAAAACACAATGCAAAGTGTTGGTGAGACTGAGTCACACTTGGCAGGTGTGATAAACTCTTGCCACTTGAACTAAATTATGGTGAAACACAAGGTTGATTTCCTTAAGACTAAAAGTAATGTACGATATCACTGACATCCTACAGCACTGCAAAACTTAGCTTTACAATTCGGATTTTTTTATATTGTTGCTTACTGTTGTTGTAGTTTTATTAGAGAGTTTTTTCCTTAAAAGTTAATATACTTTTTTCAGAGTAAACATAAATTTTAATTTGATGTGTTTGTCACAATAAAAAGAATCGATATTTTCTGCTAACCAAAAGAGACTTCTGGTCAACCCACAGTCCAACTTCTTCCATATAGAAAACACTGTCTGAAATAAGTCATGGGGGAAATCACTGTACACAATCACAAACGCACAATTCCTCAATGTGTGGTCACTACCACAATAAGGAATTGCTGCGATATTTTCAACAGTTAGTCTCCCTAACTGGTTTGCATCAAAAATGTTTCTATAGATTACTGATAGTAATAAAGTAAATGTCAAAATAAAATCATATTTAGGTTTGTAACATACATTCTTATCCTGCTGTTACAAGGCACACTCCTATGCTTACAACGTACACTGAGCAATCAAAAACAAAGGTGAATGTTTAAATTTTTTAAAAAGATTTGTTACAGTGGAAAAAAATCCATGAATCCCCTTCAAACTTCTCTCTCTCACCTCAGATGCATTTATTCCACCACTTTTGCCACTTTCTGCAGCAGCTCTGAAAGACTTTTTCCTGAGTGTCTTTGCATGGTATGAACACAAAAGTAATGTATGATATCACTGACATCCTTCAACACTGAAAAACTTAGCTTTATCTTTATAATCCAGATTTTTTATATTGTTGTTTACTGTTGGTGTAGTTTTATTAGAGAATTTCTTCCTTAAAAGTTTGCAAACTTTTTTTCAGAGTGAATATAAATTTTACACAGTGCATACTGCTGCTCTGTGCCACCCGACAGAAAGGGAGGCTTGTAAAAACAGGACGCAGAATCCTCATCCACCTTAGTCACTGGTCTGGCACCATGCAACTTCCAGCTCTTCCCCAAAGTCAAAATGACTATGAAAATGAAGCATTTTGAATCCATCCAGGACATCAAGGAAACCAAGACAGTTAAAGACCCTCAGGAGAGAGGACCCCAGAGCTGCTGCAGGAAGCAGCCAGGATGATGGGATGAGTGTGCTCAAGAGGGGAGAATTTTGAGGGTATTGTGTCTTTTACTGTAAAAACTTTTCAAATTTAAACTTTGCCATGTAATTCAATCACTCCTTATAGTTAAAAACTAGTTGTCTTGGGGCTGGGGATTTAGCTCAGCTGCATAAGCGCCTGTCTTGCAAGTGTGTGGTTGTGAGTTTGATCCCTGGTACCAATAAAAACGGAAAAGACAAAAAAATAGTAAAAACTAGTAGTCTTCCTGAAGGGCACTTTGGCAGTATTGATCAACGCAGTGTAAGCAATCAATAATGCTAAGCCAGTGGCTCATGAGACCCATCCCAGAGACCAAGAGGACAAAGATGAGTCTCAGGCAGTTACTTATAAAAACAAAGATCTGAAAGTCTATAAATGTCTAAGTACAGAGGAACAGCTAAATAAATTATGGCCTAGTAAGTTATACTGATGTCCAAAATTGTTTATGTTGAATTTATATGTATCAGAAGATTTGTCAAATATAATGAATTTTTTAAAAAACAGCAACCAAAAAAACCAGCAGCTACTGAGAAAGCTCTCACAGGAAATGTACTTGGAGGTAATCAGTGTTCTTTACGTGGCGTGGGATAAACTGGTAATCTGTAATTTTTTTTCCAATTTTTTAAGGTAAAGAAAAGAAACAAGGAGCTGGGGATGTAGTTCAGTGGTACAAGTGCCTGTTTGGCAGGCATGAGGTCCTGAGTTCAATCCCCAGTACCGAGAGAGAGAGAGAGAGAGAGAGAGAGAGAGAGAGAGAGAGACAGAGACAGAGAGACAGAGAGAGACAGACAGAGACAGACAGAGACAGACAGAGAGGGAGGGAGAGAGGAAAGGGAAGGGAAGGGAAGGGAAGGGAAGGGAAGGGAAGGGAAGGGAAGGGAAGGGAAGGGAAGGGAAGGGAAGGGAAGCCAGAAACAAACACAGTGGCACATATATGTAATCTGAGTACTCTAGAAGGCTGAGACAGGAGGATCACAAGTTCAAGTCCCACCTGGTCAACTTGGCAGTTTAGCAAGACTTTACATCAAAATAAAAAATAGGGAAGTAGCTCAGTGTGTAAGTCCTAGGTACAATGATGAGAGAGAGAGAGAGACAGACAGAGAGAGAGACAGACAGACAGACAGAGAGAGAGAGAGAGAGAGAGAGAGAGAGAGAAGAGATAGCGAGGAGGAAAGAGTCTGGTGTAGTGGCCATGCACACCTATGATCTGAGCACCCCAGGAAGCTGAGGCAGGAGACTTGCCACAAGTTCAAGGCCAACCTGGGCTGCATAGTGAGACCCTGTCTCAAAAAAAACAAAAAAAGAAAGCCTGTATGGTTGAGAAATCAGTACACAGAACAACTCACTAGTCAGAGAGAAGAAGAGAAAGGAAGAGAAAGAGGAGGAAACAGTTGGGCTAGGAAGGTCTAGAGCATGTTTCTCAAGGCACCGTGGTGTGGTTTGACTTTTCACCCACAATTCTATACTCACTTTATATGACGGTATATTCGATGACACGTCTGCCACCTGGATGGCACATTTATATCGCAGTGCACCACAGGTTTGATCTGAAAAAGAAAGCCTGCGTCTCAGAGCTCCATTCCCAGGCAGAGACACCAGGTTAAAGCCCAGCAGCGTGCAGAAGTGGCCACCTCCTCGTAATCAGTGTGAGACAGGAGGGGTCCACAGAGAGGAGGACATGTGCTGGGGGAAGATGGAGTCCTGGGACATGGGGTTGAGGGATTTGGGGTTGACAGCATGCACCCTGGAGGTAGAGAACACAAGAGGTGACCAGAGGTGACGGAGGTCCAGGAGGAGAGCCACATGGAGCCTGCCACATGGCTGGAACCCGGGATGCACCCAGCAGCTCATCCAACAATCACATTTCCCAGCAATGGAGCTCAAGAGCAGACAGGACTGAGGCAGGAGGTTGCCACGGAAATAGTAAGAAGAGAAAATGAAGGTCCATCTTCGAGCCCACTTTCTGGGGTAAATCTATCCTCTGAGCTGATCATTAGCCCAGGACTGAGATGTCCAGGGTTAAACACAGTGGTAAAGGTGTCCAGGTAACTTAGCTTACCTGGGGTCTTCTGCAACCCTTGGCTGTCCCAACCCTAATTATCATGTCATTGACTATGCAGATTTGACTCCACCCCCTCATGGGCTTTGGACACCATGATAGTTCCTCCAATCCTAAAAGCTCAGAGACTCCACTGCCCGAGTGTCCTCTGCGGGCACACACATGAACGTGCACAGCACGGTATCTGCCACAGCCTCAGACTTTACATGGTTAACGGGGGAAGGGGCCACAGAGGCTGTAAGAATGGCTCAGCTTCCACCTCTCCTCACTGCTTCCAGGAGCAGACAGTGTTTTGATCATACACTAGCTGTGATTTTAAGGATATCTTAATTTGCACACATTTGAGACTATTTTAAAACAAGTAAAACAAACACATCTAGAGACATGTTAGGACAACCACTCCATTCCCCAGAGGCTCCCAGAAACCTACAGCAGAGAGAGTTCTGGGTCAGGCCCAGTGAGGCCCTTTTGCTGTGGGGAAGGGGCAAATCCATGCTCGTGAGACCCTTCAAGGAGTGGTCGTCAAGCCAAACCTTCTAAGACAGTCCTGACAAAAGCCCTCTCCCGTGGGACGTGTTTGCTCCTGAGATGCCACGGTGGCTGGACACCGGGTCACAGTGTCAGCCTTGCTCTGAGTAAATAAAGCAGCCACAATAGTCACTTCGATAGCTAGCTGCAGACATCTCCAGGAAGCCAGCAGGTATCAGAGTTTTAGCTCTGTGGGTTTTGTGTGACTTTTTTTATATTTAAAAAAATTCTAGTTTGTATTTTTATACAAAATAGTAAAAGATGAGGCCATCCCTTAGGAGTTTCTTTTCTTGTTAGTAAATAAGTTTAAAGAATTTGTTTAACAAAGGTTACTCTTTAAACCACTAAAACACACGCACTGTTTACTACGGATATTCTTACACATTGAAGTTGGTATCAGTCATAGTTCCCTGGAGTGTTCAGTTAAAACTGAGTGGAAAGAAAGAATTGCTTCAGTTTTGGAAATGCTTCTAACAGACTGACTTTCTGTGGCAATTTAGCTGTCCCTGGCTTTCCCCCTGGAAAGCAAGGTCCCAGAGGAGGCCCTGTCCGCAGAGTGTGGAGGGGCTGGTTACTTAACTGGAAGTTGTTTCCCGAGTTGTAATAAAATGCACAAGGGCAAATGAGTTTTTTTAAGAAAAAAAAAAAAAAGCTTTCTACCTTTTTTAAGGTAGAAAAAAAAAAAAAAAGCTTTCTACCTTTTTTAAGGTAGAAAGAAGTCCAAGCCATGACTGTCTGAGCTGTGCCCTCTGTCGTGGGATGTACTCGGGGGCTGTCAGTGCCAGGTGCTGCCTGACACTCTTCTGGAAGCTTTGCTCAAAGGCTGGAGTGCTCATATCTAGCTGGATGACATTTCAACACCACTGTTTTTAATGACTGCATGTTGCTGCATTTATAAAACAATGAGGTAGGATTGTACTTCAAGTTTTCCTACGGTTTTTCATGAACAGTAGGGATAGAGACTGAGGACATTTTAAAGATAATGTGTTTGGATTAAATACAATACTCACTTCACAGCTGAAAGGGTTATATGCACAGCTTGGTTTGCAGAGGATTTCGGACCCAAGTCCTACAGTCCAGGCCGACGCCATAATGCAGACACTCTGAGCTGGGCTCCAGAGTGTCTTTCTCTTACTACATGGGAGTAAATGGATGTTTTGCAATCTCCCTTCTCTTCTTGGATGACTTGCAAGCCTAGGAATCTGCCCAGGAATCTCGCAAGCCGCAGTGGGAGCAGGGCTCCTCTCGAGCCTGCCACAACCTGGTGCCTTATAAAGTTGTCTCCTTCGTGCCCATGTATGAATGACACTGGGCATAACACTGTACTTGAAAATGCTGCAAATGCGGTGGTATGAAATAAATTCTGACCTGTGGGTTCTAAAAAGAAAGTCCACTGCCCAAAAGGAGGCCAAGCCAAGCTGGCCAGGGGCAGAAGTCAAACCTCAGCCTGACCCCTCAATCCCACCACAAACCCAAGGCGTGAACCCTCAGCACCAAGCCCCTTGAAGCCCTGAGCTCCCCTCCCAGGCTGCTCCCATCATGTCAAGTAAGTCTTTGGCCTTCCTGCTCCTTTGGGGCATCCCACACAGTTCTTCGTTCAGGGCATCTAGAACCTACACAGACCCCCAGTGCGGTGACAGGGTGGCTTGTGTTTTCACTAGTGAAGCTGGAGCAGTGGAACCACACCCCTGTGTTCCCGGACCTTCCCAGTATGACAGCCTGGGCCCACAGGGTCTGACACCCAACAGGGAAAGAACCAGGACCTGGCACGGGAAACCAAGGTCCCCACGGTCCAGGCCCTGCGGGGACAGTGTGTGTGGACACCAAAAGTCACCAGCCTATGCTGCCAAGCTGATCCCTTGGGGGATCCCAAACCCCAAGCTACTGTCCTTTGACAGCTGCGGACCATGGTGACCTCCGCCCCTGCCCACAGACAGAGCTCCAGGGAACCCTTCCCCACCTCTGCCTGTCCCTCACATTGTCTGCTCCACGAAATGCCCTGTCCCTACTGAGCTCCCTTTCCTGTTCTCCTCCCACAGACACCACTGTCCCCCCCCACCCCTGGACAGTGTGCACATGGCCATCCCCATCATCATCTCCTGCTCCAAGCGCTGCGCCAACCTTGCTCTGCCTCCGGCCACTTAACACCCCTGAATCGGGGACTCCTCTGCCACCAGGTGTTTGGCTGCTCCACAGAGAACTGGGGACTCCTCAGTGAGTCACCCCTTTGGGTGCTCCTGGAACCCCAGCCTCCCAGCCTGCCCCGCTCCTTGTCCCCTCACTCTTAGCTCACACACAAGGCAGGAATGTGACCCCATAATGTTGGAGGAGACACTTGCTTCAATACTCTGCACCCGCTTCAATGTGCTCCAGTGATCCCCACCCTCACAGGTACCCCAGGGGCACCCTTCTGGCCATGTCGTCTCCAAGGTTATTTATAAGGGTTCCACTTGTGAGTGAGGAGTGGAAAACAGCTCCAAAAGAGCCCAGAAAGAGAAGCTGCTGAGGACTGTGGGAACACACACGCCTGCACAGCCATTCTTGCCCTGGCTACACCTGAAAGTCAAACCTCGCTTTGAGAGCTTAAATCTTATCATCCAACTTGCACATTGAAGCCAAATTCCCCTTAAGAAATTATGGAAACTCAGATGACTGGCCCCCAACCCAAAACTATTCCTATAAAAATAATCACAAAACCGACATATAATACAATAAAGAAAACTGGAAAAGAAAGAAAAATAAATTGACCCACACTTAGCTTTTAAAACACTCGTGGCTGGCGTGAGGGACACAGAGGGAGGAGGACTACTGTGTGGGGCGACTTTCACTGTCACTAATGGAATCGCCGCTGTCTGCTGGCCCAGTGGCCCAGTGGAATCTTCTCCTCTTCCTGCAGCTTTAACAAGGAACCTGCCCAGTGACACTGGCTTTCACCCCCTTTAGAGGATCTCGCAAAATGAAACACTGTATTGTCCTTAAAGAGATTCAGTGCTCGCACTGCTGCAGCCCTATCTGGCTGGTGTTTCCTACAATACTTTGTGCTGTTTCCCACATTTACCAGCTCCCATTTGAAATGAGGGGCTCCTCTGCTTTTTTCTACTCCTCCTCTGCGGAAGGGATCTCCTCCATAACCTCTTGCTGTTGGGAGGCATCATTCACAATACCACAAAGAGACAGAGAGGCATGAGGAAATCACTGGCTCAGCTGTGATCATGTGACATTGGTGTCATGTACTACTCATTTTGCAAGACATCACTCGATTATCAAGTTAAAATTTATTAGAATTGTTTGCGCCTTTTACAGGGTTTTGGGTTTGGGTTTGTTTTTGTTTTTTGTACCGGATATTGAACTCATAATCTCACACTTGCCAGGTAGGTGCTTATGCTGCTGGGCTAAATCCCTGGCTTGGTTTTGGTTGTGAGATAGGGCTTTGCTATGGAGTTTAAGCAGGCTTCAAACTCATAGCAATACTCGTGCCTCGGGCTCCCAAGTGCTAGGATTACAGGCACGTGCCACCACACCCAGCTGGTTTGGTTTATTTTGGTTTGATTTTGCTTTGAGACAGGATCTCCCTATGTAGTGCAAGATAGCCTTGAACTCACTGTGTAGCCTAGGCTGGCTTTGAACTCACAGCAATCCCCCCCCCCCCGTCAGCCTCCCAAATGCACCAGCACACCCAGTCATCTTACGTAATAGTCACGGAAAGTTACTCACAACCCAAGGTTTTCTGTGTATAAAATGATACACACCTGCATACAAAGAGTGGAAAAAATACCACAAATGTCAACAACTGGAGTAGATTTACAGCCTGCATTTGAAAACAAATCATCCTCGGCAGAATTCTGTTAAGGTACAGCCCAAGCAAGGCTTTCAACTTGATTGCATAAATTATGGAAAACAAAAAGCTAATTGCTCTTTTGATGGTTTTTTTTTCTTAATCGGTACCAGGGATTGAACTCA